ATGACACCAGTAGCTCTCGTCCAACCCGGCAGCTAAGAGGAGCGTTCTTGCACCTCTCTTCACCTGCGCCACCGCACACTCTGCTCTTCCATTTCCTCGGAAGTTATCGGCATCAGTGAAGGTTCGCATCACATTTCTCTCACGACACCAGCGGTCGAAAGCTCGAGATTGGTACTCACCTGCTCGATCTGAGTGAAGCCGTAGTACAGGGAGACCCAAGAACCTCAGCCTCGCATGGAAGCGACTGATTGCCTCCACAACTGCCTGCCCACCGCGGTTCTCCAGGATCTCGGTCATGGTGATCTGCTTGACTGTGAAGTCTGTCTCCTTCTCTACTTTCTCGAGCCAAGCATCATCATCCCCTTCCCCTGGCCATGAGCTCACCGTCTCCTCCGCAGGCTCCGCCGTCTCCCGCCACTGTGGTGATCTCTGGTCCATCCCCAATGGCTCCAGGGAGTTCATCATCTTCGTTGATTGGGATCAGTGTCTGTCCCTCCTTGGACACTGGGACCAGGTAGACACCGATGAGAAGATACCTCCCTCGACCAAGTTGATCATCAGCCTCCTGAAACGGTCCAGCAGTATCGATCGACAGCGTGTATGCGTCAGGGTGTTGGATCCGCTTGTGAGCACGTCCACGAGAGGCTGCCACAACACACGACTTGCATTCTCTGGAGTACGGTATATGACCGTTGAGGAGGTGCCTTTTCCAAGCCTCGAGGTCCATTTTCTTAACCATGCCCCCTGGGTTTGCCAAAGCATCCCGGATTCCCGCCGCCAAAGCGGCCTTGAGGCCAGGAGCCCATGCCGACCACTCTCGGCTTTGTTTGATGCGCTCCGCCAAGTCCTCCGCCAAGGCAGCTCCGCCCCCAGTTCCTGATCCTCGGATGTCCTGGAGTTCCACCAACTTCGGAACGTTCGTCCCCAGCCGTGTAGGTTTTCGTCGCTGGTGACCCATCGGGCCCTGGTCGAAACTGACCTCCATCATGTTCCATCGTTCCTTGAACGTTCTCCACTCCGGCCAACACCAGTAGGAGGCATAGCGCTGCAGCTTCTTCTCCTCTTCCCTGATGTACTCCTCGGGATCCTCAGGTTGCTCCAACACCGAGAGCGTCACTTGGGACTTCCTTGCCGTCGCCGCCCGATGGTACAGGTAGAGCTGCCTGAGGTAAAGGGCCGTGTCATCCTCGACCTGCTTTTGGAGATGCCTGTCCAGCTGTGGCAGGCCGAACCGATATGGACCTTCCCTTTCTCTCAGTGGTGGAGGTCCAGGCTGTCGGTATCGGAGACGGCTCATCGTTCGACACGGTGGGCCTCCCAGCAACGCGCGCAAGGTCCCACTGTCGGCAATATCCAGCAAGTAGGCGAAGACGTCGTCCCTCAAGAGGTTCATGGCCGGGTCGATCACAGTGTCCACACACAGCACCACCCGACTCTCGGCCTCGAGCTCCCTCCGCCAGAACTGCTTCGAATCCCCACTGAACAGGTGAATCACCACCTCCCTTGCCTTCCGAATTCTCCGCCTCTCATGACGATTCCACGGGAGCCCCTCACCCGTCCATCCCTTTTTTGGCAGCAGGCGCTCTAGCAAATGGTGTGGCACTTGAGGGAAGAGGCCCTTCAGCTCCTCCAGGTGATTAGCTTCCTGAGCACTCACCTCCAACCCCACATCCTCACCAGCCAGAAACGCCAGCCGTGCACGCTCTCTCACCATGCTCCGCTCGATCTCCTGGATGAGCTCCATCGCCAACTCCTCGCTGATGGTTGGGCAGGAATTCTCAATCCTCGTGTCCAGGGTGATCCCGGCTGGATCGGTCAGCTCAAAGCGGGACTTCTCCCACACCGCCTCAATAGCCTAGGGAAATCAGCACTCCCAGCGGCACAATCATCTGGACTTCCTCCTTGGTCAAGAGAGTCTTCGTCCATGGCAGCAGCCTCAAGACAGCTGTCCCCGCCGCTAGCTCCACGTTGACCTCCTGAGCTCTCATCCATTCCTCCTCACTTGCCGCCTTCCTCAAACAGTGGGTCGCTCCACCATCTAGTAGGGCTCGTCCTCCTTCACGAACTTCTAGGCTGCTCAGCCTGATTGCTTTGACCGACGAAGCCGGTCGCAGACTCTTCAGGAGCGTGGTGGCTTCACTCAGAAGTTCCTTGACATCACTAGTTGTCCCAGCTCCTCGATCACCTTCACTGGGGGCTATCACCTCAGTGGTCTCGCTCCCCCCAACCTTCGCCACGGACTCGGTGCCCTCCGTCTTCGATGAAGCCTGTGGGACCTTCTCCTTCACCGACTTGATTCCCGGTTTCTCAGGCGACCCACCCTTCGTCTTCCCGGCCGGGCAGTCCTTCTTCGAGTGTCCTTGAGCCGAACACCCAAAGCACCGTCCCTTCTTCTCCAAGCCCGTCCAATCGTGCTTGAACTTGCACTCTTGTCCACGTCGACATCCTTCTTCCGTCCCCCAAAACCTGCAGACCTTCTCGCCGGTGTCATTCTTCCCCTTGTTGATGGCACCCTTGTCGGTCTTTTCCTCCCACGTAGTCGCCAACGCCTTGACCTTCACCGTCGATGGTGCTCTCGTTGGCTCCTCACAAGGGACCGTCTCCCCGAATGCCAGCGTCTCCGCCTCCGCCAACAACGCGTCGGCAAAGCCCAGGACTGAAGCTAAGGTCGGTGTCACATCCACCCCAAGGGTCGCCCTGGTAGAACTCACCCGAAAAGCTGCCTGGCTTGAAGCCTTCACCACAGGCGTTGACATGCGATCCACGGCGCCGAGCAGCAAAGTAGCATCTGGAGTGGTGATGTCCAATTCCTGCGCCCTCCGGAGGCTGCGTTTCCAGCAGCTCCGAGACACCTCCAGGCGTCTTGGGATCCACCAGCGACCGTAGGAGTCTGGACCTCTCAGCCAGCCCGCCGGGTTGGTATCGACGGAACAAAGCAAACATCACCTCTGTAGAGCTCGTTGTCCGGCTCGCCAGAATCTCTGACCTCACGCTCGAAGGCACCGCATTCAGCAGCATCAGTTGACCCCGCTGCTCCAGCCTCGACCATCCACCTGGGCGCTCCAAAAGTGCCCGAGGTCGCACGTAGAGCTTTTGGACCGGTTCAGCCTTCAACCATTCTTGGTACGCCTCCATCGCTGACCTCATGACCTCCTCCCACCACATCCAGCTGTTGGTCGAAAGGTCTTTCATGGTCGGAGTGACCAACTGGATCCAATCCCCCAGGATTAGGCTTCCCAAGTCACCCTCCTTGAGGGCTAAGGGCGGCAGGTCCACCGTCCTGATGTTCTCTCCCATCCACGACGTGCCATCTCCTGGACCCTGTCCTAACTGTCGCAGTACCGTATGTGCTGCCTGCTCCAGAGGCGAGCTCGCCTGGTGAGCTCTGCTCTGCGATGCCTCGGGTAGATGACAATCTCCCGGATCACCTGGCCGTCGACCTCCAGGTTGTTGCCCTCTGCCATGAACTTCCCAGGAACCAGGCACTTGAGGTACTCCCGAACGTTGATCTTGAGCCGGCCATAGCGCCCAGTCTTCTCCTCTCGGACCCGGTGTCATTGGCACCATACCGCTTGGGAACTCCGGCATCTTCCCGAGGTCGACCCATGCCTGACTCTCGAAAACCCGATCCGGAGTCTTCGGCGGCGGCCCCTTTGGAGGTGAAGGTGGTGGTGTACTTGACGGTGGTTGAGGCTTCTGATCCTTCACCTCCTTCACGTCCCTGGCTTCCACCTTCTTCTTCAACTCCTTTTTCAAGGCGGCATTCTGCGAGAGGACAGCCTTGAGCACCTCCTGCACATCCACGAAGGTCCCCTGGCCGCCATCATCAGGCTCCACCCGGCCAGCCGCACCAGTCTCCTCCGTGGGTCCCAGTGATGCCGGCCTCATCGCCCTCAGCAGCGCTTCCCCTTGGATCCTTTCCGACCAGAAGGGGTTTACCTGAACCGTCGGCTGACCCGAGCCTTGGCCCTTTCCATCTCTCTTTCGACCTTCTTCCCTCCGCTGAGGGCCATACGAAGTCGGAGGTCCTAGAGGACATAGATCACGAGAGGCCGCCACCAGCGCTCCTTCACTCGGGCCAATGTCCTCCAAGGCCAGCACTCCCGAGTCTTCTTTTGCGCTCTCCATCGAAGAGGCGCCTTCCGGCGACTCGGTGCCGCCCAAGGCCTTCTCGGCCTTCGCCGCCCTCGCGCCGCCAGCTGCCCGCGACATGGGGACCAGCACTGCGTCGCTGACGTAGCGATCACAGGTGGACTTACGGCCGTCCGGAAACAGTTGGGCTCATAACCCGCGTGTGCTCGAAAGGCACTTTTTCTCGGACAAAAAAGGCTTCAGTCAATCACTTCTCGATTTGTGCGTTGCACTTCGAACAACTTGGTACACTTCTCAACCTGTGCACCTTCTTCAAACTTCTACAGCTAGGTACACTTCTCGATTTCATGTACCAGCACTGTGAATCCTTCAGAAGCAAGAGTGAACAGGCTCATCTAAGAATAGATTGAAGGGTCAGAATGTCTAGCTTGGCACATCATGACCACATCATGGACAATTTTGGAAGGCGCCATTGATGGTTCAGAAACCAAGAGCCAAGATGAGCCAAGAATGGGTATGTGCAACGGCCTTGTGCCGATGTTGACACCTACTCATCAGTACTCATCTTTACGACATGTTAATTTGCTCAGATAGAGAAGCTAGATCGACTAGATATAGGTACTTCGTCGTGAGAATCTCACTGACAAGGGAACTTGAAAAGAGCACAGTGGCTATGGCTACATGACCTACTTAAGTACATCCTGTCGTACGGCGCTGGTCTGGTTTTTTGCAGTTGTCTTGGACTTCGCATTGACAGGAAGTGCAATCGAGAGCCACATGTTTGTCCTTTTCTATGATATACATTACGTCATATTAGTTAATCATATATCATCACATCATATATATATAAATGTCGGTCAACGTGCAATTGTTGCTTTGGGTGGACTTTACGTTGTCGCTTGAAACAGGCCGATGAAGTGGATGGATGTCGAGTTCTCAGTTGCCAGATGTTCTCTTCGGTCCAGGGTTGGGTTCGATGATGGTACTCCCCAGCTGGTACAGACGTACACACACACACGAGGTGGATAGGGTTGGATGATATTCCTTTGGCACAAAAGCTTGCATTGTAAAGGAGGTGGCCGCTGGCCATTGACTGCGTAATTGGATTATATAACATCTTTACTTTGAGGCCCCGTGGCTGAATATGATCAACAGATCGCTACTGACCGACCTATCTGCAAAACTTAATCTGTATTCCGACCTTGCCGCATCACTTGAGCCACACTTGAGCCATTGGGGTGTCCAAAGCTGTGGGATGTCGAAGGCTGCCACATGTTTGACGCTGTGGAGAAGAACTCCCTTGATGCTTTGCGCCACTTCTTAAGTGTCCGGCCACACTGGATCAACCAGACGAACGACCGAGGCGCGTGGATGTAACGGGCTGTCAACGACCGAAGACGCTGCAAGCGCGCGAACAGAAGGATGTCATTTTATCCACGTTGTACTACGGTGCTATCTCACAAAGGATGTCGAGGTTTTGATTTTCTTGTTTGCTGCAATGGCCTTTGCTTAACAAGCTTACGAAACTGCACTACTGTTTGTCTGGATAGCTGCCCCAATATGTCATTCAAAGAAGCAGAACTTAGATGTATTCGGGAGGCACCGCCCCCAAATTTGACGGAAAGTTCCAACTGCTTTATGTGCTGCCTGGTCACAGGCTGCACTGCGCTGCATGCAGCAGCAGCAGCGGAGGAAGGGAACGCTCAGATTGTTGAGCTGTTGCTAGCGGCTAGGGCAACAGTGAACCTGCAGGACAAGGAAGGCCTGCCGTCCGAAATGAAGGTTGAAAGGAGGTTTTGTTTTTTTGTTTGCTGCAATAGCCGCTGTTTGCCACAAAATTTGCACTTCAAGGTCCACAAAGTACTGCGCCTACCACGAAATCTGCACTTCAAGGTCTGCAAAGTACTGCGCATGCCACGAAATTTGCACTTCAAGGTCCACAAAGTACTGCGCCTGCCACGAAATCTGCAGTTCAAGGTTCACAAAGTACTGCGCCTGCCACAAAATTTGCACTTCAAGGCCCACAAAGTACTGCACCTGCCACGAAATCTGCATTCAAGGTCCACAAAGTGCTGCGCCTGCCACGAAATTTGCACTTCAAGGCCCGCAAAGTTTCGCACCTGCCATGAAACCTGCTTCAAGGTCCACAAAGTGCTGCTCCTGCCACGAAATCTGCACTTCAAGGTCCAAAAATTACTGCACCTGCCACAAAAAACAAAAAATAGAAAGCAACACAGCTTTAATTATAGTTATATCCGAGCCCAAGGCAAAGTTCTTAGATGTATTCGGGAGTCATCATTGTTGTCAAGGCAGACAACCTCCAAATTTGACGGAAAGTTCCAACCTGCTTTATGTGCTGCCTGGTCACAGGCTGCACTGCGCTACATTCCGCAGCAGCAGCGGAGGAACCGAACTCTCAGATTGTTGAGCTGTTGCTAGCGGCTAGGGCAACAGTGAACCTGCAGGACAAGGAAGGCTCACTAGGGTTGAAGGGTAGTTGGTGTGACCAGCGACCAGCGGCAGCAAGCCAGCGAACAAAAAGATGACATTTAATTACGTTGTACAATGCAGCCATCTCACCACACATAATAGGTACTGTAGGCTTGATTTTTTGTTCGCAATGGCTTTTGCCTGCCAACTTTACAGAACTGCACCATTTCAACCTGTTTGGCTGGATAGTTTCCACGATGTCATAGGAAGCGGTAAGGAGGCATAATTGTGAAGGCAGGCAAACTTGGAAAGCTTTAACCTCCTCTTCCCCTGGCTGTGTTGCGTGCAGTGTACTGCCCTGGTCGGAGGTAACGCGCCCCTGCATGCAGCAGCGGAGGAAGGGAACTCTCAGATTGTTGAGCTGTTGCTGGCCACTGGCGCCACAGTGAACCTCCAGGACAAGAAAGGCCTGCTGTCCGCAATGTAGGTTGGAAGGAGGTGCTATGAGAAAGACCCTCGCTAAGTTTAAATTGAGGCAAGGTCAAGGTATTTGGCGACCAGCGCCAGCAAGCATGCACGCACAAAGATGCAATGTGCTGCCCCGGTCGCAGGTGAGGCGCCCTTGCATAAGGCAGCGAGATCTGATAGCCCTCGGATCGTTGAGCTGTTGCTGGCCACTGCGGCCACAGTGAATCTGCAAGACGAGGAAGGCTTGGTGCCCGGAATGTGCTGTGAAAGGAGTTGCCATGACAGAAGCTCTCACTAAAGGTAGTTGGCGTGACCAGCGACCAGGGGCAGCAAGCGTGCGCACAAAGATGCAATTTAATGTACGATGAACTTTTTCTGTTGGCTTTTGGTCGCTTTTTGTAAATTTTGCTACCCAGATAGCGTAAGCTGCTTACTTCAAGTATAGGAAGAGCTGCGCGTGTGCCTTTTCGAGCCTGGGTGCTCGTCCCGCTGCACGGTGCCGTTGCCGTTCCAGTAAAGAAAGAGCTGCCTGAGTGCTTTCTTGAGCTTGGGTGCTTGTGCCTCTGCAGGGTGCCACTGCTGTGTGCGCTTGGAGCTTGCGTGCTGGGGAGTGGAGGTGCTGTGTGGGCTTGGGTGATGCCGGTGCCGTTGCAGGGTGCTGCAGGGTGTCACTGCTGTGTGCGCCTGGGCTTGGGCGCTGGCGCCGCTGCAGGTGCCGCTTGTGCTGCCGCAGTCTTTTTGCTATCTGGGAATTAATGTGGTTTTTGACTTTTGGTGGCTTGTGTGGGTTTGGGCAGGTTGGTTTAGTTTTTTGATTGCTTGCTTTTGTTTCTCGTCGCCTTGTGTTTGATGGCTAGGTTTTGATCACTTCTTTCCCGTTGGATGGCATTTGGTAGCATGTGTGTGTTTTCGAGCCTGGTTGTATGGGAGCTTGGGTGCTGGTGCCGCTCCTGAGCCGCTGCTGTGTGCGCGTGGGAGCTTGGGTGCTTGCTGTGTGCGTGTGGGAGCTTGGGTGCTGGTTGCCGCTGCTGTGTGCGCATGGGAGCTTGGGTGCTGGTGCCGCTGCTGAGCCGCTGCTGTGTGCGCATGGGAGCTTGGGCGCTTGCTGTGTGCGTGTGGGAGCTTGGGTGCTGGTGCCGCTGCAGTGTGCGCGTGGGAGCTTGGAAGAAGGCACATCTATTTCGAAAGGTGGTTGGAAGAAGGCACACATAATTTTGCATAAAGACCGGGAAGTGTTCTGGCAACCAGCCCGCATAGGGGATGATGCGAAGAGCAGCAACCTCCCTCAAAGGAACCGGGGGACTACAGTGCTGGGAACCTTTCTAAAACTCCATAAGGAGCAACCTAGCAAGAACAATAAAACTTCAAAAAAGAACAAACACAATTCCGAAAGCTGCCAAGAATCTGGCTCAAACGTTCCCAATTCTAAACTTGATGTTTCAATATACATTTTGCTGTCGAGGCGGGCAAACTTCAAATTCGACTTCCAAAACAAACTTCAACCCTTTCTTTCCCTGATCTGCCACGGGCAGGCCGCGCATCGCTGCACGCAGCAGCGGAAATCGACGACTCTGAGGTGATCCAGCCCTTGCTAGCCGCAGGAGCCACGGTGAACCTGCAGGACACTGAAGGCTTGCAGCCCGAATGCAGGCTGACATGAGGTGCCATGAAAAAGATCTTTGACTGACTAAGTCTGCATCCTCGGCATGACCAGCAACAATGTGCGAACACAGCGATGCAATTTGACCACATTTGTTTGAACCTGTTGTCGGGGTGTACCACGGCCGAGCGCGACTGTGAACACAGGTAACACCCCGCTGCATGTGGCGCTGTTGCATATGAAGCTCGCCAAACTACGAACAAGCAGCGCAGGCCCGCTGCTTTCAAGGCCATCAAAACCGAGCATCAAGTCCATAAGGGTTTGAGAGTTGAAGTTGGCTGGCGGCAAACGGAGGTTGCTTCTGGTGCATATCAACTACTGTACATCATCATCGTCATCATCATCATCATCATCATCATCATTCTTTCATACGCTCATCAGTCGATGACTGCGTGGACCGTGTTGGTCCCACCTGGGCCCCGTGGGGCCTTCCTCAACTTTCAGTTGAAGTTCTTGTCGAGGAGTCTCGCCAAGGTGGAGGCCTTTGCCTCCATCTGTTGATGGGACCGCAATGCCCTATGCAGCATTGCGAACTGCCTCAGGCAGGGACAGCAATGGTCTTCATTCATGCCAATGCTGTGAAACGGTTGGCAAGCACACCATCTGGTGGGGTGAGCTTTAGAAAGGAAGCTCACTGCACATTGTTCTGCCAGGGAGCTGCTGTCTTCCCACAAGGAGCGATGCGCCACCTGCATGTGTGAGTTCAGATCACGAGGCCAACTTCCACATGTGATGCACTTCTTCACCAACCGGTGGCAAAGTCAAGGATGGTCCACCAGCAAATCCGTGTCCATCAGGTCCAGCCCTTGCAGCCATTTGCTGTGCCATTCGTCATTGATGGACGGGTCATGGATGATGTTCTGGATCTTCTCCTGGTCCGTCAGGATGGGCGATTCGTCAGAGAGGGCAGAGACCTCCTCTGCACCTCCATGTGGTGTGCAGTTCAACCATAGTAGGCAGCAGTTCTCCTGGGCCACCAGTGGGAGCATAGAGAACTTCACCGGCATGTTGTCGTCGTCATAGACCCACCATGAGTCGCCGTCCTTAATGGCCGTGTTGTAGTGTCCCGAAGAGGCCTCTGATCCCAAATGGTAAGAGACGCCAAGGACAAGGAACGGTATGTGGTCGACCTCCAGCTTTGTGTTCAGGAAGTATGGCAGCCACACCTTAGAATCCCATGTCAGTCGAGTGTGACTCTTCCGCCCCGTGGAGTCAAAGCGGTCAATGTGCAGGCATGTGACGTCTGCTGGTTCGGTGAGGGCGTGTAACCCGAAGGATGCAAGGCTCCAATTGGAAACAAGACCTTGTAGGTCGATTGGCAGGGTGCTTTTTTGCTCGCTGCAGATGTAAAGTCGTAGTGGGCACCCTTGGGCATTGTGGTCCACCACCTTCAATTGACCTTCGTCCTCCAGCCTGCTTTCCCAACAACAGCTGAGAAAAAGAGGACTGGTTTGTTGTAGAAGATGGTGTGCAAAGTCAACCACATCATGTTGCCGAAAAGGATTGGGCCAGTTGGCCAAGAGGGTGGTCCACTGCCCATCCGCCCATAAAAGCATGGACTGCCCTTTGGACACATCTGCTATGTCCCCTAATGCCCCAGGGAAGTTGGACCATTGGTCCTCCTTCAAACCATTAGCCTTGAGTGCGCTCCAGGCTAAACCAGTGGCCGCTGAGTTCATGTAGCAGGCGGCAGCAGGATTCTGAAGCGTCCTCAATGGAGGTGATGTTGATGCCATCACATTTGATCCAGCATCTTGCCTACTTGTTGGGCAAGTGGTGTGCGATGAGAGCTGGCCGGGCGCATCCGTCCAAGCACTAGTTGCCAGAGTCCTGAATGACTGAGTTGGTGCCAGAGTCCCCTCATCTCGTTGGCGTGGGTGTGAACCAGGGCCAGTGTGATCCGCCAGGGAATGATGGCTGACGGTGCCTCCGTGTCCGTGGTCATGGCCTTCTGGATCTGCTGTTGGGGACGTAGGGCTCCGAATCTTTTGTTCAGGGCTTCTTGCTGAAGCAGGGTGAGCATCCTGGTCACTGTCTGTGTGGCTTGTTCCATGGTCAGGCGCGTGTCCTCCTGAGCCTCCATCTGCTGCTTCTGGGAATTCCACCTCATACGTGGAAATATGAATGATTCTCCCTTCTCGGGCTCGGGCTGCAAGAAGTTCAGGCGCAGCAATGTCTGGATCAAGGGATCGGAGGAGGCCGTGGATTGAAGTTTCTGAATCCTCTTCAACAGTTCCTCCAGCAGGGTTTTCAGGACCAGGATCCGGAGTGGATGTGTCCTTTCCGCAGTTGGAGTCTGCTGCCAAGTCTGCGTCTGGGCCATCATGCTGGGAAGAACTGAGCCTGGTCCCGCGCTCAAAAAAACGAAGAAGTCCGTCTCCATGGCCAGGCACTGAAGCGTGTCTTCGTGTCGAAGGACGAGGCGGGTCAGCGCATTCAGGAGTGTTCTTGAATCTGGTGTGGACTCGTCCTTGATGTTCTGGGTCTTCCCCTGCCCTTTTTTTCCTTTTCCTTTTCCCTGGCCCTTCACGCCATTCGACATGGAAGATCTCGGGCGCTTTGCCGTCTGCTTGTCCTCGTCCACCTCCATCTTCACCCACTGGTTCAGGGCCCCCCACATCTCTGAGATCTGGTTGCCCTCCATGTCCATGATGAAGTATGGCGAGAAGGCTGGCTAGCTGCAGGAGCACTGGGCACTGTACTGCGGTTTGGTGACAGTTGCAAACTGAACACTGTTGCTGCCTTTTTTGATAGAAGGACAGAAACTTGTAAAACAGCCCCCCACGGTTCCCATGTTTGGCATGGTTGTTCCAAAGATGTTGAAGCATGTCTCTGGGGTCAATCTGCCGTCCACATAAGCAGCACCAAGTACTAAGGGCTGTGCAGAGTGTGCCATCTCCAAGAAGTTCGTCAAAAACTCTCGTGGCAAGAAGGCTGTCCATGTGTGGAAAGTTCATGGCAATGGTGGGGCTGAGAACTTGTAGGTCCAGCTTCAGTGCGTGTGCCAAGATGAGCTCATCGCTGGCATCCTTAAGTTTGTGCAGGTCATGGTGGACAAAGAGGGCCAGTTGAGTAAAGACCGTGCAAACATGTGGAGTCGCCGGAGGTCGAAGACAGGAGCAGCCAAGGTTCCTCAGAGCACTGTCTGTTTGAAGCCATTCAGCATACGTGGTTGCCATAGTCCATGATGTAGAATGAGCCGAGCTGAGATGCTTCAAAAGACGAGAGGATGAGCTGGATGATTGATGTCCACAAAGGCCACAGATGTAGCCCAGCCTCCGGATCAGTGACTTGTAAGCAAGTAAATGATCAAATGTGCCCCCATGAAGCCCAGAGATGACCACTGGATGGTGCCAAAGTAGCGATGGAGCATCCGGCAGCGGTTCAGGACATTGACCTCCATCAATGTGATGCCGTAGTGCTGCAAGACAAAGGAAGGAGGCCTCGCAGTGTGCACATTGCGTCAGCCCAGGAACTTGGTCCCTGGATGCAAGGAAGGTCCTGGTCAACGTGGAGTGAGCATGCTCCATGGATTGATGTTGATGAAGTCCTGCGGCAGTCACGAATTTCCTGGTACATTGAGCGCAAGCAAATTGAGCATCCATCCTCTGCGGAGGTTGTGGGACCGGTGGTGGACATGCCGGAAATTGTGCACGGTGTTTCCGGTATGCAAGAGCAAGCCCCAGCTGTTTCTTCACAGGGCATGTGTGCGTTTTCGATCGAAAGTCCTGTCCACACAATTCACATGGTGAATTGGTCCGGGCCCTGATCACATTGGGCAGAACCTCCCCCATCAGCGCATAGACATCTCCATGATCTCGACCCATGTGGGCAGACATTTGCTGCAGTCTCGAAGACCAAAAGCCACAAAGAATGCACCGTTGGGTCAGAAAATAGCAAAGTCCTCGATCGTTGGCCAGAGGGGCCAGGTCGCCATCGTCGAAGTACTCCAGGAGTTTTTGCCTGTGTTGTTGAAGAACTTCTGGTGGTGCCTTGGTCGAGTCAAATTCAGAGCAGGAGAGAGTGTGAATGTGGTGTCGGAGGTTTTGCCAGCTAATGAAGGTTTCGCCACAGTGCCGACAGGTAGGTTTCCCATCAACCGCATCTCTAGCTATATCCAGCGTGGGACCCTCAGCATGTAGAATGCCGTGAACATGCAACTCGTGTCTCCTCAGTGTATATAGATGTTGAAAGGTCATCCCACAGTGCGGACAATCAAGTCCTGCCTCCGCCAGGGGGAGCTTGGGTTGCAGATCCAGTTCTCCAAGGTCCTGAAGCCAAGAGTCTGTGAGATGAATAGAGCTTTGGAGTGTGCTGAGGTCAAGAAGGTGGAGTATGTCATGCTCTTGTAGTGAGGAAAGTCTGTCCTCATGCCGCTTCAATTGAGAGGCCATCCGCTCCCTCAGGGAGAGCACCGGGTGGCGGAGTTGGTGCTCTGTCAAGAAGTCCATGTGAGTGGTATGTGTCATGTAGGAATGGTCTCCTGCGGCCTGTCGAAGCATGGACGTCATGTTCTTGGAGAACAAAGGAATGGAGGTGTGATCGGTTCCAGTTGCATCCAATCCATACACTCCTATTGGAAAAATGCATGTTTGCCATAGAGCCACCTTCTGAGCCGAGTGCATGCCATTTTTCGAAAACCACTTCTGCATTTGTCTGAAACGAACTTTGCATGCTTGAAGCCGAGCTTTCATGGTGTCCCTTTGAAAATTGTTGTATCCCATCTGAACTCCCAAGTATTCGTGCTTCTCTTTGATCGGTATTTCGTGTGAGCCCCCTTCGGCTTGTGGTATGCAGAGTGCGGAATGGTCGAGCTTCTTTTTCACAAATTGCTGCCTGGCTTGTTTCTGTTGTTTGCCTCCCCATCGTAAGATGACGGCGGATTTCTTCATATTCACGGTCATGCCCAGCCTTTCAAGGACAGAGATAACGGTGCCAAAATATTGAAGGCCTTGTTGAAGTTCTGCCACGGTCTGAAAAACAAAGCAGGCATGACCGTCATCTGCATAGAAGGTGCAGCATTCACGCATCCAGTCTTCTGAGGATTCGTGTGCTATCAAGTTCAACACCAGTGCAATGAAGCTGGCCCAAAAAAAGGGGGCGCCCCGGCAGCCTTGCCTCACACCTCTAAAGGTGGATTGTTCAGCAGAGATTCCTTTCCATTGAATCACATATGAGGTCTGGGTGTGCCATGTCATCAGGAGTGAGGTGAGATCATGGGGAAGACCAATGAGTGAAAAAGCTGAGTAGAGGTGCTCACGAGGCATGGCATCAAAGGCTCCAGTGAGATCGAGAAAGAGCTGACACCCTCCAAACACTTGAGGACGTGTTGTCCCGTCAACTGACCTCTGATTGGCGTCATATCGCCATCGGTGATGAAGAGCTTGGACCTTCCGAACGTGTGCTTGAACCCGGGTGATTGCTTCCCATGTTCCTCGTCCCGGGAGGTATGCAAACTGTGGATACCAGGTCAGAGTTGGCAGTGAAAACTTCCTTGCCTCATGAACAAAAAGTGACATGACCGTCTTGGAGAGCGGAGTCTGAAGAGCGATTGCACTTTTGGTTCAACCGGTTGTTTGTTCGGTTTGGGCAGAAGGACAACCCAGCCTTTCCGCCGTTCGTGAGGAATGAGCCCCCAAAGCATCCACGTTTTCACCCATTCAAAGACAAGTGACCCAATAGAGGTGGCCAGCGCCTTCCAGACGAAGCTCGGAGCCACGTGAGGCGGAACACTGGTGCGTCCATAGAGCGCCTGCAGTCCCTGGACAAGGTCCGATGCCTCAAAGGGTAGAGCAGTCAAATGGAAGGGTTGAGCTGGAAGATCAACTCCTGCATAAAGGTTGCCCATGTACTCTTGGATCCAGCTCAGTTCCTCTTCCGGTGACATAAGCTGACCAGCATGACGTCTGAGATGAGGCCGAGATGGTCGTGACTTGGGTGTGAGAGAGTTCACCACCTTGAAGTACTTGTGGGAGTCGTTGTTGCTCCAATGCCGCCTGGCTTGTGCAATTGTCTGAGCCAGCTTGTCTTTCTTTGCATCCCTAGCTTTTTGGTTCGTGGATCGTTTCCAGGATTGAATTCTGACCACTTTGACCCATGTGCCAAAGAGCTGTTGAAGTCGACACGAGAAAATGGGCTTCCGAGCCACTTCCGGAAGAGCAAGTCCTGGATGTCCGTTGGCCCAGGTCCAAAAGGTTGGTGAGGGGCTTGCAAGCTCCAAAGCAGGTGGTTTGAAGTTCTGACATCCTTCAAGGAGTGCCTGGTTGAGAGCCTCAAGATCTGGTTCATCTTCCCTGAGGCCAGTGATGACCTCTTCCAAGGAGGAGCAAAGCCCTTGCCACTCTTCACTGTTCAAGTCCCAGTGCCGAAGGAGAAGTTCTTGTTGCCCACGAGGAAGACCAACCGGCTTGGAGTTCCAGGCCCTCCATTTGTAAGGAACGGTCAAGAGGATGGGCACGTGATCCTTGGTGTGTCCAAAGCGTTCGGGCAGATCCTCCAGGTAGATGGGCTTTTTTGTGAAGGAGTCACTGGACTTGTGACGAACCATGATGTAGTCAATCCGGGATTGTCGGGCCAGTCCTCCAGTGTAGGTGGGTCCAAGGGAAGTGTCCCAAGTATTGATGGCGGTAAGCCCATGCTGGGTGAGGAGGTGACCCAGCTTCCCGGAATCAGGGTGCCGTGGTCCAGCCTTCCTTCCCTTCTGGTCCTGAAAGTCGTGGAGCCCCACAGTGTGGTATGTGGGGAAGGCTGGTGTTGAGGTCTCCTCCCAAGATGACCACATTCCGTTGGGGAAGACCAGCAAGCAGTTGATCACAGGCATGAAGGAGTTCCCCTCGATGTTGAAGACAAAGAGGATCATGCTGAACCCACGCGTGTTGATAAATGTTGAGAAGGTCAATCCCCGAGGAGGGTAGATATAGTCGAACGTGGAGAAGCCTCCCAGGAAGAGTCTCCCGCCAGGAGATTCGGTCAACGGGGCAAAAGCTTTTCCTGATGATCACCATCAGTCCACCCGTTTTGCCCCTTGAGCCACTGTGGACATAGGCAAAGTGAGAATCCTGCCAGTCACCGCTGAACCCCCACCGAGTGTCCTGAAGAAAAAGAACATCGAGGTGTTGGGAGCGCATCCACTGCCTCAGGATGTCAAACTTATAGGAGCCCAAGGAGCAAATGTTCCAGCTAAAGCCCGTGAGGCGGTTTTTCCGGACCTTGGCCGGAGGGGCCACATTGAGCTTCTGCCTGTTGTGGTGACCTAGGTCGGCCAGGGGTGCTTGTAGTTGTTCGGTGCCAAGCATGGCTGCCGTGAAAAGCTGACCTTTGTACCATGTGTGTCCATGAAGCTGGGCTCGTTTGAGCGCACGAATATAAGCCTTCTTTTTGTGTTGAGGTTTGTCCGAATCCAGGTGTGCTGATTTAGGTCCTGTGCCACTTGGCTTCGCCGTAGAGAGGGTGTAGAAGTCCCGAGATTGGATGGCTTCACTGTGCTGACCGCGGTCAGCACAGGGTTGCCCATGGAAAGAAGAGTCGTGACCGCATTTCCCCCGCAGCACCGTGGGGATGGGGGTTGAGCCGCTCATGGCCCTTATCATCATCATCATCATCGTCATCATCGCCATCATCATCATCATCATCATCATCAGCAGCAGCAGCAGCAGCAGTTCATGGTGAGATTTATCAAACTCTATTGGGGACTCTCGCTACTTATCAACAGCATTCAGACATGTGCTCTCATTCCGGGGCCTCATGTGCAGACTGTTGCTGCTGTAATATGCAGACTGTGGCCGCTTGCAACCAAGTTTGAGTCCGATTGCCCGCTGGCTGCCGTGTGCACTGTGTCCAGGTCACACGCCGCGTTACCGACCTTACCGGGAGAGCGACGCAACGGGGCTTCAGGGACTTCTGGAAGCGGTTCGGGCCAAATTGGACGGTGGTCGGGGTGCCCAACACCCCAGCAGCGTCTTTGCTGCTTCTAGTTGGTCTAATCCTTTGCTGCAGGATTTTTCAGCTACTCACACGTTCAGACACCGCGACAGCTTGGACCATAAGGTATGTTTCCCAATAATATGATATGTGAAAATAATGTCAGCATGTCCTCCTTGTGCTGCATTGCGCCAGTTCGTGTTCATGCAAATTAACCAACTGAACCCTGTGATGAACTTGCCTATTTGATTTCCTGCCGATTTCCTTGTGCATGGTGTCCCAGGTCACACATCAGAGCACTCCTTGAGCCGCTGGGAGCAGAGCAGTGGGTACAACGAGCGGCTTCTGGTGGCGGCTGGGGCCAAAGTGCACCTTCTGAACCAAACAGGTCGGGGAGCCCACAGCTTCAAGGTTTCTACAGTTTTTGCTTGGTCCAGGAATTTCAGATCGACAAACTTTTTTGGATGGTTGTTTTGCTTTCTGCCTTTGTTTCAGGGCTGTTGGAGGGCTAGAACTTTCTGGTGTGGTGTGAGTACACCTGAGGCAAGAGTGCCTGGGACATCGCAGAACAGAAAAAACAAGTGAACTGCTTGGCCTTATTTCGAGAGCTCCCAGATGCTTGGCATGCAAGAGGTTGCATGTTTCCAGATGTTGAACTGAACGGACACCTTTAGAATCCTTTAGATTTCTAGTAGACTCTGGTAGAGACCTGCTTGCTGCCAGGTTTCTGTCTCGCTGCTCAGCGGAAAACATGTCCTGTGTAGCTTGGCGACAGCTATGGCTGAATGTGTGCGCGCGAGTTGGTTTTCAGTTACTGTTTCTATCGGTTGCTTGCCAAGAGTACTCCTAATCAAGGCGGTGTTTGAGAGACATGGCCTTAAACATTCCGCGGAGAACCTTCCTTCCATGTTCACTCAGCCAAGATATGGGGATGGGTCAAAACCTGGAGTCCTGGAGCCCACCATGTAGGTTGACCTCCCAGGGACTTACCTGGGAGGTCGACCAATGTATCCTAGTTTTGACTCCGCAGCCAAGAAGTGAGCAGTGCTAGTTTTGAATTCTTCTCTGCGAGGTAGTCTGAAAGACTGTGCTCGCACTGTGAAGGAGCTCCAGGAGGAAGCCCAGCAACGTCGAAGCAATCAGTTGTTTTGTCTAGGCAATCTGCGCGTGCATTCTTATGAGCAGGCTGCCAGTTCGATGCAAACACCAGCACCATCTCAATGGTTCGCATAAATTCTCACTGCAGAGGGAAAGAAGGTGGTGTAATGGCTGAAGCCCGTACTCTGACGTTGCAAATGAGTGCATGAACCTCTGAGTCTGAGAGAACACCGCATTGTGCTTGCTTGGTGCAGAGGGTGTATGTGATGTGAGTACGTATTTCCTATATATATATATGCTAGTTAAAGTTGCTGGAGGCCAGTCATTGGTCAAGACAGTGCAGATTAGGGTGACAGGTATCTTCCTTTCACTGCAAGCGATGTTGCCACCGCGAGAGGAGAGCCCACGGTTCCAATCAAATGTTCACCAAAAATGCGTTTGGTCGATTTCTATTGTAACCCTTGACTACCCGTGTGCCGGCCAAGTTTATGATTGGTGGTCATACGCCTGGTGTTTTTTTTTAGCTAAGCTGCATATATAGGGCTCAAGATAGCCGAAGTTAGTTTCGGAGCGACTTGTGGCCCCAGTCTCCACTGAGAGACGGCCTTCCACCTGAGCCATAGGTATCCGTGGTGGTCCGACTTTCTGCCGAAGCCCCAACTGGCATCGGCGGTTGAGATCCAAGCGATCTCGTGCGCGAGCCTTTTTGCGGAGGCTCCCTAGGCACACTGCCATCCGAGGCAGGAGGGTGCTCAAGGCTTTACGCCTTAAAGCATTTCTGGAGAGCCACCATAGTCGACCACGATACGCTGTGAGTTTCAGGATGTCATGGAAGGGAAGATGGGGCTCGAATGCTCGAGCAGAAGCCTGGAAAGGCTCATGGCCAAAGGAGAACAAGAAGCCGCAGGAAAAGCCCAAGAAGGAGAAGCCGGACAGCCAAGTATTGAGGTATCACGACGGTACCAAAATCGATACTACAATCGGCGGAAGTTCTACCTTGCAGGGCTCGTCTGCGCAATCTTCCTTACTACAGGAGGAGAACAAAAAACTGCGGGAGGCTGTCAAAGCCTTATCGCAGAAGGCAGATCTCTCGGAAGTAGAGTCAGCAGACGAAATCCGAAAGCTGGTCGAGACAGACCCCAGGGAGGTTTTGAGAGAGCAGCAAAAGGAACTCAACAAGTTGAAGAAGGAGCTGACCAAGAGAGAGAAGATCGAGAAGCAGCTGAAGGAGAAGGCGGAGAATCATACCAGCTGGAAGGCTGGTATTCTGGAAGGAGTCAAACGAGCCGATGCCAAACATTTGGAAGAGATCAAGAAGGTGAAGGAGGAATTGGCACAAGTCGAAGACGACAAAGATGCCAAAGAGGGGATGAGTGTAGAAGTTCCTCAGGGAAACGACAGTGCTGTGGACTCGAAACTGGACGATATGAACAGGAAGATGTACCAGATGGCTTCATATGTCGAGACAATGGAGCAACGGAACCAGGACCTGGCATATCAAGTTTCCATGTTGCTCACTGCTGTCAAGGGGAACACCGAAACACTACCCCCTCATTCTCCTCAGTATGTGAAACCGCCAGCCAGAGCGACGATGACAAGTGTATCGGCCGAAAGAACCTCCAGAACTTCTCAAGAGAGATCAAGATCGCCTTGTCGAATAGAAGAGTTGGGGACACCAGTAAATCCCTTGACGCAACAGGCTGTCCAAGAAGCTCTGAACATTTTGCCTCCAGAACAACAACAACATGTGCTTGCAATTGTGGAGGCAGAACCAGAGAAGTTCCCTACAGTCGAGACTATTGTGATCCTGACCCAGCAGATGTTAGCGCAGATGACCAAGGTGCCAGAAGAGGTCAAGATCGTGACGAGTGGACGAGGGCCTCTGCAACCCTTCTGGAATTCCAGAGATCCTGTCAAAAAATTGATCTCCCATTCTGGCAAAGGACGAGCAAGGGCAATGGATGTGGAGGAGGACCCCAATCCCATAGAGGGGGCATCATCTCCATTGAACGCTATGACGCTATGAATGGGCAGTCTCATGGATCTTTACAAGGATGCGCCAACTTTAGAGGCAGCATTCTAGATGAATTGTTCTCTGTTTTTGACTTCTTTTGGGTGGCATTCTCACTTCGGGCTGGTTGTAGAAGCCTCCTCGAAGGTCTTCCTTTGAGAATGATGATGGAGGTCAAGGAGAACGGCATTCCTTTTGAAGCCTTGCTGGGATGGTTTCCGAGTGGTCCGTATAGTGACCTTTGGTATGGCTTTTCTTGGCGGGTGCATTTTGTTTGGCAGAAACTCAACACAGATTTGGCTGGCACAGATTGGCAACATTTGAGTTTGCCATGCGGTCTTTCTGACATGAGTTCTTTGACAAACCTGATGCAGTATCTTTTTGTCACCACGATATTATCTCCAATTCTGGCTTGCTTTATGGTATGCTGGGTTGTTGAACTTCACTATATTTCGGTGCTTTGCCGATCTCATTTTTGGCAAAGGAGCAACGATCGGGTTACCGCACATCTGCACTATTTGGCTTTTTGGAGTGGTGGGGTGTATACCACTCTGAATTTGACCTTGACTTTTGAGGATGTGGAGACAGTGGAGAGCACCACAGGTATTGATATTTGGGGTGTGCGGCTCCTTACGGCAGCACGTGACTGCTCTATGTATATCTTTGGTGCCATGCTTGCAGCTCTCATTTTGTTTCATGGATGGAGACAGTTCTGGCAAAGATGTTCTTTCCCTTTGACCAGGGAGGCAGGATCCATCCATGCGAGGCTGCCAGGAAAGCAGTTCGGTAGATTTGGCCTTCGTGCTTTGATTATGTGTATGTGCATAGTTGTGGAAGATTACAAAGAGACAACACATTACATGGCCAATCTTATGCCTCCATATGGAAGTGCGGATCCTTTTGAGCCTTGGGGGGACTCGCATTGCGCTAAACATCTTCCTGATGTTTTCGAAGGCCTTAGCTCTTGGAGTTTTCTTGAGACGCCTGGTGAAGAAGCGCGTGAACTGGGGCTGTACGAGAAACCCAATCGAGCTTGTCGATTTTGTGCAAGGGAAAGACCACAAAGAGTCGCCACTGCAAATGCATTTTTGATCCACTTTGTACCGATGAGTTATGTGGAGGGAGGGAACAGGTGCCTAACAAGGGGGCTTGGTGGCTCACACCCTCTGACCTGTCCCTCCTGTGATGACAGCCAAGGAGTGTCTGAAATCTATGATCTTGCTAAGGCCAACGAGCCTTTCAAGAAGGTTTCCAGACTCAAGCCAAGGAGTACTGAATGGGAGATGGCCACCAGGAGCATGAATGATGATTTTTTTCATTAATGCAAGGCTTTTCGTGGAAATCTGGATCGAGCAGCTCTGGTTATGTCGTCCGGGGACATGACAATACACAACGTGCTGTGCGACAGATTGAGATCTCCTTGCCGGATTCCTTTTGGCAACAGATTGACGTAGTCCAAACTCAGTTTTCTGATGTACACTTGTACCTACATGGTCTCAAGGGCAAGCATATAGCAACGCGGACCTTGAAGGTCTATGGAAGAAAGAAAGGTATACTTCCAAGTCTACATAGCCGCATTGAGTGGTTATGGCATGACCATTATGACCGAAGGGAGTCAGCTTTGCTGTATCTTGTAGAACCTCAGCCTATTAGTGCTGCTGTGAATGGACAAGTGCACTTGATCTTAGATCTTTGGCCAAGTCTCCAGGGAACACCAGTGCTCTCACAATGGACTATTGATGATGAACCTGGATGTGCCCTGCAATCTCACCGTTTGCAATCGTATACGCCATTTGATGAAATTTTGATTGAAGGGGACTTGCCGAGAGAGATTGAGAATGGCATGAAGGTGGCTTATACCCATCGAGGCCAGGGATATGGGCGACATGATGTCCTTCGCTTCCTTCAGGGATCAAAATTTGATTTTGATCTCAAGACAAAGGAAGAATGTCTCAAACAGGAGGTCTTTGAAGGGCGGATTTTTGCTGATTTTTCAATTGACCCCCTGCAAGACTCAACTTTCTTGATGCAAGTACGTCCACTGATGGAAGATATGCTTGTTCGGCACATCAGGCGGGTTCGAGGAGGCAATGTAAGGATAGATGTTTTGACGCGGATGCACCATGCTGAACATATACAACAGCTGCAAAGGGACTTGCGTATCGTTACGCATAACCCTGACCTGCCACTAGGTCATAATATTCGCAGTCGCTGGGTGCATACTTTCGGTCGTAGATCATGCTACATCTTTCCTGTTTGGCCTTCTCCTAGTAGTGGCAGGGGGCCCGAGCCGCATTACATTGTCACTACCTATATTGGACATGGATTGATACCTGCCTTGATTGAGTATGAGACGGTTCGAAGTTTTCGCCAAGCCAGCTTTGTTTTTCGAACTCACAATTGGCTTTCTGTGCAGCAGGTTTTTGACCAGGTAAACCCACAGAACCAATGTCCGTGGGGGGCAGAGTGCACACTTCGGTGTGGAGCTGCCTTCTATGAATGGTATCAATATGTCCCTTTGTATGAAGGAATCTTTCTCAGATTGATGGAGATTGAGAGAGACGACCCCACGGATGAAAGTGCTACGTGTGACAACAGTGAAGATTTGGAGCAGATGTCTAGTGTAGAAGCTGTTAGTTCGAAAGATGAGTCGTTTGAAGAAGAACATGTTTCTTTCATGCAGACTGGAGCCCCGAACTGGCAGGAAGAATTTGATTTGGAAGAGGAATCATTCCGCCAAGCATTAGCTGAGCTTCCCTCCACTGCAGGTGGATTGAGGGATATGTCTGCATGCTTGATTCCTGCCAATGAGGGTATGGCAGATCCATTTCGATCTTTCCTGGACTCCCACTTTGCCCTCCAGGGAGTTGCCATGCACACGATTTACACTTGGGTTGTCACTGGTCACGTTGCGGTTGTCGCTCGTGTCTGTGTTATGGATGCTCGACGGTCGGCCACTGAAACTGTTCTTTTGGAATGGAGGGATACAGAGCAAGATTGGCCTGTTCTCTTCGC